CCAAAAATTCAAGCTGGATCCAGAAAGGGATGTGCTACAGCTGATATCAGAATGGCTCTTGGCTGGAAGCAGAAAGTACCAAAAAGATGTTTACCTGTGTTTTATTGCCTATGCCAAGGCATTCAACTGTGTGGATCATAACAAATATGGGTAACATTTCAAAGAGTGAGAAATCCAGAACACAGAATTGTGCTCATGCAGAACCAATACACAGACCAAGAACAAGGGGATAGTGTGTGCTTTACGTTTAGGAAAAGTTTGTGTCAGAGTTGTATCCCTTACTCAATCTGTATGCTGAGCAATAATTCAAGAAGCTGAACTTTATGAAGAAGAACGCAGCATCAGGACAGCCTACAACATGCAAAAGATACAACCTAACGTGTTGAAGCCAATGATGACTTCAGGTGCTTACTGATGAAGAACAAAGACTCCATCCAGCCTTTAATACGGGTTACATCTCAACGTAAAACAAAAATGTTCACAGCTGGACCAATAAGCAACATCATGATAAATGGAGGAAAGATTGACATTGTTAAGGGCTGCATTTTAGTTGGATCCACAATCAATACCCATGGAAGCATCAGTCAAGAAAACAATGTATTGCATTGGGTAAACCTGCTGCAAAAGACGTCTTTAAAGTGTTCTAGCAAAGACAGCATTTTGAGAACCGAGCCACGGTATCTTCAGTCACCTTATATGCATACAAAGTTGGACAGTGAATAAGGAAGTTCAAAGGATTGATGCCTTTGAATTATGCTGGCAACGAATGTTGAATATACCAGGGGCTGATAAAAAAACAATTAAATCTGTCTTAGAAGTGGCACAGCCAGAACAGAATGTTCCTTAGAAGCGAGGATGGCCAGACTTCATCTCACATATTTTAGACATGTTATCAGAAGGGGCCAGTCCCTGGAAAAGGACATTATGCTCAGTAAAGTTGAGGGTCAGCAAAAAAAAAAAAAAAAGAGGGGGGACCCTTAACAAGATGTATTGACATAGTGGCTGCAAGAATGGGCTGAAACAGCAATGAAGATGAGGATAACACAGGGGTAGGCAATGCTTCATTCCGTTGTGCATAAGACCTCTGTGAACTAGAACCAAGTTACTGGCACCTAACAACAAAAAATCAGGAAGCCAAATGTGGATTGTAACAAGATTCAGAGCCCTTTCCCTTTAGCTCCAAATAACCAAAGAGGGAGTAACCAATCCTTTTGAGAACAAAAATGGAATGTGTTCCTTGAGAAAAGGCCTGTATCAGCTCTTCTTCAACTGGGAGATGGTACGAATCAAATAAAAATGAAACATCTGTCGCAAAGAATCCCTTCGGGTATGTGTATACCATCCCTTTTCTGACCAACTTGAGGCATATATGAGGAGGGGGCTTCCAAAAGTTGATGGAAAAACCCCATGATCTTTCGATTCTATTTTTCTGTGTACATTTTGAAACCTCTCCCTCTTACATATTGGCAGAAGCATGAACCTACTAGAAAAAAGAAAGGTTTAATTGTTTGACTTTGCTAGTGATAAGACTGGGTGTCGTTTCTAAGAGTGATCTTTCTCATTACTAAATTACTTGCCTCCACTGTTTCCCAGGCCCATTTGAATTTTGATTACACGCTTTCCAAGCACGGCCCCTTGGCCAGGACCAGAGTCGCATTTCACAGGGCTGTCTCCACTGATTACAGTGCTGCGGATTGTGTGTCAAGGATACTGAAACCTGCCTTCTCAGGGACTCAGTTATATTTTCCCACCTAGTCTCTCCCCCCTCCCTGCTCCCCTGCCCCCCCCACCACCACCATAAAGAGGAAAATATTACAAGGAAACTCATCAGGGAGCTTCTGTGTGGAGGAAGATGTCTAAACACCCATGAATTGGACACACGTCAGGGTTGGTTGGTAAGACTTGACTCAGGCCTGGTATTCTGGGTTACCAATGCTGAAGGCCCAAGAGGGCTGGGACCCAAGTATTTTTGAAGAATTCATGAAGGTCAGAATCGAGAAGAAAATGAAGAGGTCAAATAGAAAGTGTGTAAAGAAGAGAGAACATGGAGAAAGGGCAAGATTATCGAGGGGTGGTGGGCAACCCAACCCAGAGCCAGGAAAGCAGAGAAAAAAGGGCACTACTTGGTAGACGCTTCCTTTGTTTACTGCCAGCCCTCACTGCCACCTAGTCTTGCAGAGGAGTGGGCAGGAGAGGCCCTTCTTGCTGCCTGTGACCTTGGTGCAGAAGCTTTGCCTCCCTCCCACCTCTGCTTTCCTTGGTAAGCATTAGTATGTATCACTATATGCTTAGTCAGCCATTTTGCCTGGGAAATCCACTTACCCTGAAATTCCTCAGACTTTAGGTAATGAGCCGCAAGCTCATATGTAATTTACAGGTACTCTAAGTAACTGAATTCAACTGCAGGCAAAATGGGCTTTTAAATTTACATTTGTTTTACCTACACTCTTGGCTGGTGGCCAGGGATGAGGGTGCGGTTTTCATTTGTTTGCTTCTTAATTTTTGTTGAGCTGCAGCTCCAAGCTGTCCTTTCCACAGCCTGCTGAACCCCAAAGGACTGTGAGACTGTCTGATAAGCCCTGCTTTCTGGTTGCACAGCTTGATGGAGAAAGTTTCAGTCAACCCTTCTGAATTTATTCTCCACTGTTCGATGAGGTTTGGCACGTATCTGAGGACTGATGACTGAGCACTGAGACTATAAGGAGAAATAATTCCGTGCTAATGGAATTTGGCTTGCAAACTCATCGTACATTCCAATAAGTCCTATCTATGACGCAGGTACAAATGTACAGCTGCCCTGAAGAGAGATCATAAAGCTCTGCCTTTGAGGCCACAATTAGAGTGGAGGTTGCCATGGCCCAGGGTCTTTAAGGAGAATATTGGGCCTAGGACCCACATTCCAGAAGAAAAGCAGGGAGGAAAACACTGAGACCCAAGAACATCTGTCTTTGGTAACTGGGGCAAGTATGGGAGATGGAGGATGGAGGGCAGGGTGTCCCAAGGGGAGGGGTAGGAGCTGGAGCTGGTACAGAGGACACTTGAAAATGGATCTATGGCAGAGACTGGGCTTGGACTCCTCCTCTTCCTCCTTGCTTGGTGGTGGTGGTTAGGTGCCACCGAGTTAATTCCAGCTCATAGCAACACTGAGTACAACAGAATGAAACAGTGCCCTGTCCTGTGCCATGCTCACAATTGTTGTGTTCGAACCCATCGATTTAGCCTCTGTGTCAATCCATCTTGTCGAAGGTCTTCTTCATTACCATCTTGATTTCTTCACCCCAGGCTTAGAATATTTTCGTATACTTGCTGCCTTCTTGGTTGCCTATTGATTTCCTGCTTTATCAAATTGGTGGAGTTTTTTTCCCCATGTGGCACCACTTTCTTATTTCAACTTGTCCATTGTCCTTTTAACCTATCAATAAATAAGTAATGGCCCTTGATCTAAAAAGTCAGTATTCCTGAAAGCACTTGCAAATCCTGACATTTATATGTTCTCCAAAAATATATATGTGGGAATGGGAGGATTTTTTTTATTGGACGCACTCATAAGACTAAGGAGCTCTGGTGGCGTAATGGGTACGTGTTGGGCTGCTAACCACAAGGTCACCAGTTCGAAACCAAAGCTAGGTTTTCTCCAGGAAACAATTACAGTCTCAGAAACCCACCAAAGCACTTCTGTTCTGTAATAAAGGGTGACTGAGTTGGAATCAACTTGCTGGCAGTGAGTTTTGGTTTCATAGGACTAAGGAAGCCTAGTGGCACATTGGTTAAAACACCAGACTGCTTACTAAGTGGTTGGCAGTTTGAACCCACCAGCCACTCCTTGGGAGAAAGATAAAGCAGGGTGCTTTCATAAAGATTACAGCCTCACAGGCCCTAGGGAGTGTTTCTGTGCTGTTCTCTTGAGTTGCTACGAATCACAATCTAGTTGATGGGGCTGGGATTTTTTCCCTCATAAGGCCAGACTAAGGTCTTATCAAGAGAGCTTAGTCTTCTTTCTATGCCCTGGCAAAGTTTTGCGAGAAAAGAGCCAATCCTGTCCCTCACAACAATTTAAAAATTATTTGAAGGTCATAAATATATTCTTACAAATAAAATCACTTATCTGAATAATAGCCTTTAACATTTTTCAGTTTTAACTTGAGAGCCTCATACATGTAATGAAAGAGCCACAGTTTGCTGACCACTAACCTGGAACAGTTGGGTTTTTTTAACTGACGAAACAAATTTTCTTTAAGGCAAATTGTAAGGTCATGAAAATCCTACCAGTCAAAGGTACAGGCAGCCCCTGGGTTATGAACGTCACAGCTCTTACTTGCTGAATAGTGTTAACATGAATTTACTCTTCCTTTGAAAAAAATTGAGCAACAGAGTGAACATAATCACCTTCACTTGCTGACCATATAGTTTTTTAATCATTGGAAAGAAAATAAATAAATAAAATCATTGAAAAGGCTTCACACTTTTGCTTACACTGAGGCTAAATAAGAACTGTATGCACCTGTTCTGACTTAACCTACAAACTAGACTCAAAAGCGCACTTAAAGCTGAATTGCGTTCTTAACCCAGGGACTGCCTGTATTTATGGCATAATTTTAAACCTAGGAAAGGAGGAAATGCTACTTTTTAAATTTTTTTCTACGTTGTAAACATTTTTATTTTATAGATTTTATTTAATGTTAATAAATTTCATTTAAGGAGTTTTACATATCTTTGTCATCCATCGGTTGCTATTTGGTTCCTCTAAATCTTGTAAAAGTTCATCTTCAAGATGCCCTTTTTAAGGAGCCACCGTTGTCCAGTAGGCATTAATCTCAGATCTGTCCATTCTGGTTACACCACTTTAACCTCCATTATGGACAAATGTCAAACATTTCATGCCTGAAAATTCTGTCATTCCCTTTAGGGACCTAGAAGTAGAAATTACATTTATGTTTTGGGGGTAAATAGTATTAGTGCTAAATAGTTCTACATTGTTAATGTTTAGTATTGCTCGAGCAAAGTGTTACAGGTCTCATTGTCACCACTGAAATTAACCCACAGTGATGGAAGCAAAACCTGTCATCCTTTCAGCCACAACTGCCTGTCTGGACACCATCATCAGCTGTGCCCAGGTTCACAGACTGAGGCTGCGAAATGCTACTTTTTAATACTCAAACACAGATCATGCCATCAGACATACATTTGAATCATAGCTGTACTTGAAGGAATTCATTCTTTTGAAAATTTGAGCCCAAATCACAAATGAATACCACTTCTACCAGAGGGGTTTCAGTATCATAAGTAGTAGAATTTTGTTCAGGAAGTAGATCCATACAGCACTGATACGTAGACCATAATTATTCTCCACTCACTATGTCCCAGGAGAACACTGGCAGGGAAAACAGCAGGGCCATCTTCATGGGGTACTGGGGTGACTTACCTGTTGTAACTCATCAGTTCCTGCAGCTCTTTCTCAGGAGGCATGTCCTCCTGAAGGCACCCAGGACCCTCCTGCTGCCAACAGCCACTGTCCGTTGGTAAGACAACTGTTGTGTTATTTACTAATTAAATTGAGAAAACTTTAACTTCCAGGAACTTCACTATTTCATATGGGTGTTAGTTTTAAATGAGATAAGATGGAAAAGGGAAATAGAGCTGTTAGCACATTTGACATCTGTACGAGGGGGGTCTTCAAAAAGTTTGTGGAAAAGTCCATTAATTTTTCCATAAATTTTTGAAGCCCCTTTGTATTATATGCTGGGATTCAAATAGTTCTTTCACCTTGCAGCTGAGAATTACCTTAAAGCCCTGAATTTGGCCAGGTTCCAGATAAGACTGGAAACATTCACCTATTCCCTGATCTTATGCTACCTGCAATTATCAGGGTAAGCACGACTGACTGTTTGGAGGCTAGCCTGGAGAAAAAGACTCAACACTGAAATATGAAAAGTTAGGGCTCTCTTTGTCTGCATTGATAACAACCATAGGTTAAGAATTACTGCAACAACAAAAAAGAATTACTACCCTTCACAGCCACTGTTAAGGTTAATATAAGGTGACCAGATTTGAACATTGGTAAAGCGGGACACCATTGATAAAACTCATATCCTGGCGAAATGGCCACATGGCAGCCGAAAACCGTATACCCTAGCTTGTCGTGCATTCTTTCCAAAAATTGGGACTTTTTCAAAATGCCGCGGGACGCGGGGAAAACTGTTAAAAATCAGGACTGTCCCACCAGAAGCGGAACATCTGGTCCCCTTAGGTTAATACAACCAACACATTTCTCTTAGCTTTTGGAGGTCTTAGAGGAACTTAGACCGGTTTTTATCTTCATAACAGTGGTGTGCTCGACATCAGGCACCACTCCTTACTGTTTGAATGTGAAGAAACCAACCCCTCCGCTTGTCTAGATCTGTTCTGTTAGGGCTTTAAGATCGATTTTTATACCGTTTCATATCTATTTTACATGGTTCAACACTTAGTTCAGTAAGTTCTAGAAAACTTTCCTGAGATAGAAAATATTATTTCTAATCATGCAGCGTGTCTCCTTTGTAAATATGTCTTCTACCATCAAAGGCATGAGGGGGCCCTGAGAAGAAACAACTTTTAACCATTGGAATATACTAGCAGCATTAACAAACTATTCGGTGCGGACTGTTCATTCCCGGATGTTCCAGTGTTGTAAACTGACGTTTAAAAGAAAGTGAATTGCAAACGCTTAGAAGTCGAGGGCTGCCCTGTGCGTAGGTATGTAGCCAGGTACAGAGCACACAATAAAAGTGCCCTTTTTCTTAACATCCTGGGGATTCCTTACACATAGGCTCCTCTTGGCACCATAACACCTTTGATTTTGTACTTGTTCCTTGAAATGAAGAGAAAGTACGCTTCAGTGAAGCTGTGCTAGTGGTCTCTTAGAGAATGTGCAAACTAGGAATTTAATTCTGAAGACCATGAGGCTGAAATAGGAGCTAGTAAGAAATATTACTGTACTGTGTGAATGTTCTTCCTTAGCCACCCAACTATTGACCATGTAAGGAAACAAATATACTTGAGGATATTTTAAATCCTAGAAATTCAGAAATAGGAAATTGCATTGCTTGCTCATTCATTCACCAAATATTTAGCCTAGGCCTACAGAAGGTCTCTACCAACTTGATTAGGACAGAGTTTCATTCCTTAGTGCCCTCACAGCTGTCAAGAACAAATGCTTGGGAGTCATTTGGTGTGTGCAAAAAATTACTATATTCTTTATATTCAAGTTGAAAGTATTGCCCATTTCTTTGATCAATGTTTCTAGATTGCTACCTAATTTACTATGAATTTGTACACTTTGATTTAAAATAGAGCAGCAATAAACTATTGAGCTTTGTGAAGGGCTAGGTCCCTTATGGCCATTTCTATGAGGCAGAATCTTAAGTATGACAGAAATGCTCAGGATTATAAAAGAACAACAGCCTTATTACATATCCTGAAACTAGAATCTCATGCAATGCAATGTTTGTTTCTTTTTTCAGAATTATAGCTGAGAAAAAGCAAAAGTGGAGATTGAACCATTGAATTGTGTGATAGGTGAATTATATGCCAATAAAACTGTTGAAAAAAGAAAAGAAATACTAAGTATGTTGTTGTTGACTCTAACTCCGGACAGCTCCATGTATCACTGAGGATCGTTGTTGCTTTAATGAGTTTTATCTACTCTGCTTGACTTCCTCGACTCCCCTTGATGTTTTCTCTCTGGCTAAGCACTTGATTTTATCATCTTCGCGTTTTCAGAATCTGAAACATGCATCCCACATCTGAAATGTCTCTATCCTTTAGCATATTGCTTTAGAATCTGCGGAAATACCCACTGGGAAGGTGCTGGAGTGATCCAGGAGGCTGCAAAAGCCAGTACTTACACTTTATCCTGGCTTATAGGCTATGTACAAAAGCTTCTCGTTACCAGGGGCAAGGGGAGGGGCACACTGAACAATATTTTCCCCCTGAGAAGTGTGCAGTGTGACAAATAAGTTTAAGTTTCTATCTTGATTTGGTAGAAATAGTTCCAAATGTTGTTCATATTGTAGAAGATAGAGTGATCAGAATTGGGAAGCATCCATGTTGTCTCAGGCAAAAATCAAGCTACCATGTTGGACTTGCCTGACTTCATGTGAGCTGGCACTCCACAGCACCTAAGGACACTCATCTGCCCCCTGCAGTATTTAGAAATGCCTTTTTAGCCTCAGGACTAGAATAAAGAATATAGTTGCTCATTTGACCAACTCATTGTGTCTCCCAGTCTCAAGTGTGAGCTCTACCTGGCACAAAACTGGACACACAGGATAGCTGGTAGTGTCCCAAAAATCCGAAGAGCCCACTTTGTCACTTACCGGCTTTGTGGCCATTAACTGAGTACCTCATATTAGAAACCCCAGATTCCCCATCCCTATTAGAACTTTAGTAGTCACACCTGTTCCTAGGTCTGTGAGGATGACTTTGGTTGTGGATAAGGCATTTTCCACAAGGTCTGGCCCTCAAAAGGTGTTAGCCAGCCTCACTTGACAGTAAATAGGTCTGAGTGTCAAGATGGTGCTATTGTTTTATGATTGCTTATGTCTCTGCTGTACAGTCTGACTTCCAAGAGACATGTAACCAGAGTCCTCTGAAAACAGAATTCCTTCCATTTCTTGGTGAAGTCCCCCCTCTTTCCTTCTGCTCCCATGGATAGAAACTTGCTAACGTGAAAAGGAGGAAGGCCCTCAACGAGGTCGATTGGCACCGTGGCTGCATCAACAGGCTCGAGCTTAGGAACGATGGAGAGGACGGTGCGGGACGGGCAGTGTTTCGTTAGGTGCATGTGGTCGCTATGGGTCAGAGCCAACTCGATAGCACCTGACAACAACAAGGAGTGTCTGGTAAAGTGGACCAGCGATGGATACGATGGCTCCAAGTCACTTTGTGTGAATAAAGGGCTTCCCCCTTTGTCTGTTTTTAGGCAGCATTGTAGAATAAAGGTCTGGTAGTGACTTATGACTATTTCTGTGCTGAACATTCATTTATCATTTAAAAGAGCCTACTAAACACTTCCTGTCTCACACACAACCCCAACCCACACACACCCATTTTCAGCAAGTCTGGTGTAAAGTGTCCCAAACCAGAGAAAGGCTGATGACAACAGGGCTCCAGTTTCAAGCTTCTTGAGTCTAAGTTCTTTGTGAGGGGAAGGGAAGCAGTGGGGCAGGCACTGTTTGTTGTTGGTTCTTAAAATGCTGCCAGGGGAGACAAGAGTTACCCTCCTGGGACTCTGAGTGTGGCCCCAGGAGGGAGTTGCGGGAAGAAGGTGGTTATTAATCGACACCACCTCAGTTTATTAGCTGAAGTGGTTCCCAAACAAGTTTTTAGCAGAGAAATAAACTCTGCAAGGCCGCTTCTACCCACTGCCATCAAGTCAATTCCACCTCTAGGGTTGGAATTCCGAGATGATGACTCTTTATAGGAGCAGACAACGAACCTCATCTTTTCAGTTGGTACAGCTGGTGGGTTCAAGCACCTAGCCCACAATGCCACCAAGGTGTCTTTAAGATCCTTACTGTTGCATCTCTTTCCTATGCTGTAACCCAGGGATTGGCATTTTGCTTTTATTCCCACAAGTTTTTCAGACACCTGATCTGCTTCTCTCACTGTCCACATCTTAAGGAGCTCTGCGGGCACAGTGGTAAGCACTCAGCTGCTCACTGTTAAAAGCTGAGGTTTGACCTTACCAGCTGCCCCACCCTCGGTATGGGGAAAGACCCAGGTTGTCTGCGCCCACGAAGATGTCAGCTGCAAACCCTCTGGGGCAGTTCTACTCTGTCGCATCGGGTCCCTGTGAGTCGGAACCACCTCTACTACAGCCACCTCCCTCCTCTCCGTGCCTGCCTGCCTGCCTTGGGCACACAAACGCATAAACTTCCTGGGAAAATGGGTGTGGTTTTTTCAAACCTTCCTTCAGATATCCCTAAATTCCCACTTCTTAGAAACACCTTTCACCTCTGTCCACCCAGGGAAGAATATATGCCTTTGTGCCTGGAATTGTTCCTTCTCATTCTCTAAGGGAGTTTTCATTTCTGGAGTCCTCAGGTTACCCAAATGTTGTCGTGGGCCTGACCTATCTCTTCCCCTCCTCCC